TCTGGGGTCACAAACATCTCGGAGGTTTTCTTTCAAGGTCCCATGTCATGGCCATTTCTACGGATCATAATTCCATTGTTGAGGTCTACTAGAATAGATTTATATTGTTCAATGATCCAAACACACATTTCTCAGACAGCATCTCTGTAAAGTCTGTGTATTCACTCTCTGTCCTAAACGGCTTGTTGGAGCTCCTGCCCCCCCCCCTTCCTGTGAGCCCAGTGGCCGTCTGCGAGACACAGCGAAACCAGCCCGAAACACACACACACACGCAGCCTGGCTGGGAGTTTGTGTGTGTGCTCAGGCTGAGTTCCGCGGTGTCTCGCCGACCCCACACCAGTGAGCCAGCTCACAGTGTCCCGCTCCTCGCAGCAGCGAGCCTCGCAACGTCCCGCCCAGTGTGTGTGTGTGTGTGTGAGAGTCAGCGGATTGGTCCAAACGTAACGGCTCCGCGGACGTAACGTCCCTATGCCCAAGAAGCAAAGAATGGAAAAAGAGAAATCCCCAACGAGGCGTTCTGGGGCAGCACAGACAGGTCTTCTCTGTGTTAGAGTTTTACTCGCTACAGGGTGTACTTTGAGGGTTTGAGACTCTGCAGACCGTTTACATGCAGAACAACCTTCATAACAACAAGGGGACGGGTAAGAACCAGAAAAGCATGACATGGGACCTTTAAAAGCCAACAAAAATAGGCCTATGTAGATTGCCATTATAGTGACATATTGAGTAAATGTTGGAAGTAATTTCCTTTCATTTTTTGTATTGAACGAGGATTTTGTTATATTTTAGAGCTATACTGAGAGCAGCAGAAAAAAGCAGAACTGAATGCACTTTAACATCTGTTTATTTAGTTCAAGTAATATTACAATATTCAACATTGTAGCATAATGAATAGTACTTAAAAAGGAATCTGAAATATTGCTGTTTTGGGGTCACAAATATATAATTGTTTAAAAGCCAACGTTATTAGACGTATGTAAATTGCCATTAGAGTGACATATTGAGTATTTGTATATTATATATGCTACTTATAAAGTATTTTATTAGCATCCTTTCAAGAAAATTACTAAAAATATTGCCGTTTTGGGGTCACAAACATCTCTGTAGAGTTTTGTTTTTAAAGCCAACCAACTAGGCCTATGTACATCGCCATTATGGGGAACAAAATGTACTAATATAATCAAATTCTTCGAAGAAAAGAAGCGACAGGAAGTTAAAGGGTGAACCATTGAAAGCTTTGTAAAGACACACAACATCCCGTCATTTATAATACAGTAAATTAGAGGCGAGATAGACACAGAGGATCATTATACACTCCAGAACATTTCTGTGTGTTCATGTTTACAGTGTTGGGTTTGTTGGGGCACAAAAAAGAAATCCACAAATCTGAAAGTCAGTCTCTGTGGATCTGATGAACAAAAAGATGTGTGTGTGAATGTTTCCACTGTAGTTCGATGCAGTAGCTTTTAAAAAGACGCCATTCTCTAGATGAGACACACAGAACACCAGATTCATCCCATTTCTGATTATTCCAAGATGTGCAGCTGCCTCACTGACAGAGCAGAGCAGAATCTGTCGTCACGGATGTTATCGCGAGTTACGCTGTGAATAATTGACTGTGGAGGGAGGGCGGGGTTTTTAAATTACATTTCATTTCATTTTTATTTGTCCCGCTCATGGTACGCAAAACCAAATGTACAATAATTGCCACAAAACATGACTCTACCATTTAGCGAAAAGGAGCAGGGAGAAGAATAAAATCTTATGTGACCTGCCCCTTTATCATCAAATCATCTGTCATTTCAAACAAGTAGGAGAAAGTCTGACTCTAACCTAACTGTGCACGGAGAGAGGGTTTTAAGATAACAGGTTTTGTGTTGCAGTGGGTTGTGCGTTGGTGTTGGGGTCAGGGGGTCACAGGTTCAAACCCCACTGCAGTCAGCATCATACTTGCCAACCCTCCCGATTTTCGTGGGAGACTCCCAATTGTATTGCCCTCTCCCGGTTTCCTCCCGGGGTTATATTTCTCCCGATTTCTGACAAAATCAGATTTACTCAGGACTGTTTCCACTCGGACTTTAATACAGCTACACCATTGTTTGGTTTCCATGGTAGTGCGTCTCTTTAGTAGCGTGCGCAACTGAAAGAGAGAGGGTGAGGCAGATAGTCACAGAACAAGAATCGACAACTCGACCCTCTGCTCACTCCTTAAATACAGGTCCAGCCCATATGCTCCATCAAGGATGGTGCACTTACAACTACAATAAGCATGTTAATGTTAATCTAATACAGCTCCGGCGATCCACTAACACCCCCCCCCCCCCCCCCCCCCCCCCTCCCCCCCCGCGGAGGTTTCGAAATGCTCCCGATTTCTGAGGTCTCAAGGTTGGCAAGTATGGTCAGCATGTCGTTGTGTCCCTGAGACACTTCACCCCAAATTGCTCGTATTGAGTATGTAAGTCGCTTTGGATAAAAGCGCCTAACAAGTGGCAAGAAATAAACAAGAAACTAGAAAATATACATGTTGAGTTACCACAGATACTCCGATGAACTAATGTATATTTGCAACATTCACGCTCCGAGTTTCCATCCAAATCTCTAGAAAATCTGCATTAAAAAAGTTAATGAATGCATGTTGTATCTATCTACTAGTATAATGCATTTACTAGGAGTTTGTTGATTAAGATAGGCAGTAGTTTGGACCTTTTCTCCAGTGGGAAAATGTTTATACCGTTGCATAAGTAGATAGCGAAATAAATGACGTAATTAAGAGCGCCAATCTAACGTCAAACGGTGGAAAACAATGTAAAACTGGATGTAAATATGGATTTTGTCTTTATTTCATAAAGTTAGGAAGGTAACATCCTGGAGCGATGAGTAGACGGATTAAATATATATATATATATATATACCTCTTATCTAGTTACTTCTGCAAATCTGAAGCTTGAGTTGAGGTTAAAATCACCTTTTATTCGCTAAAAAATCACTTTGGCCAATTCTGTTGTGAACGATACATCAAATTTACCTCCACAGCCATTATTCTGAAATAGTTTTGACTACTTTAAATGTCTTATTTGTTAAACAGCACATTTGCTTATATACTGCAACAGGAAATCAATCTCCAAAGGAACTGATGTGAAGATTCTGTTTACTTCGTGTAGATTTGTACATTCGTTTTTAGAGTTTATGCTTTAGTTTTGTACACAAGAACTGTCCAGGGAGGATCCACTTAATCGCTGCTACTTTGTAGATACGCTTTGCAATCAGCAGAAGCTCCTCCAGTCAGCACAGACAGTCTTCCTGTGGGAAAATCCAGTCGTCAGCTTCTGGTGGTTTGGGGTATTTCAAGATGCCCTGCTGGGTGTCACTTCACAAGCTTCCTGCCACCAGCACAGCGAGAGAACAGCCGTGTTAAGACTACTGTGGTCACGTGTGTGTGTGTGTGTGTGTGTGTGTGTGTGTGTGTGTGTGTGTGTGTGTGTGTGTGTGTGTGTGTGTGTGTGTGTGTGTGTGTGTGTGTGTGTGTGTGTGTGTGTGTGTGGTGTGTGTGTGTGTGTGTGTGTGTGTGTGTGTGTGTGTGTGTGTGTGTGTGTGTGTGTGTGTGTGTGTGTGTGTGTGTGTGTGTGTGTGTGTGTGTGTGTGTGTGTGTGTGTGTGTGTGTGTGTGTGTGTGTCTGGCATTACTATACTTGTGGGGACCTAAATCTGTTTACATAGTCACGTGTGGGGACTGGCTTCCCTTATGGGGACAAATTGGAGGTCCCCATGAGGGGAAGACTTGGTTAGGTTTAGGATTAGGGTAAGGGTTAGGTTAAGGGTAAGAGTTAGGTTAAGGGTAAGGGTTAGGCATGTGTTGGTTATGGTTAAGGTTAGGATAAGTCTCCAGGAAATGCATGTAAGTCATTACATTACATTTAATGTCCCCTGAAGTGATGTGTGTGTGCGTGCGTGCGTGTGTGTGAAGAGCAGGGAAACACATTGTCTCAGACACTTTGGACACGAGAAGCACATAACTGGGATTCTCATTACACAGATTAAGGCTGCGTTCACATGCCTTTGATTCCCCACCGGTGATAAAATTGGGTTTTTGTGGTGTCGCACGATGATCTGCTTCGTGCTGAGATTTACATGAAGACATGTAAGATATGGTGACACTGAAAAGACTCTCCATTTAAAATACTAAAAACCACCATGAATTAAACCATTTGATCACTCAAAATCTCACTACATTTTTGGGGGATTTCAAGTTTTAAGAAATGTGTTCAAATGTGATTACCTAGCATTACTTTTCATTTACTTTATTTAATTGTACAGAAGCAAAGGATAGAGTTTCTGAAATAAAAATCGTAACGTGTATTTTTGAGGTTTTTTCCACTTGTATGAAAGGAGATGTTATGGAAGCAGAAACGGGTCAAATGTTGTGTATGAAAAACAATGTTTTTTAAGTCATGGAAACATCCACGGTTTGAGTCCTGGGCCATTTGTTTTAGTTAAACTTATTTGTCACCAATTTACTGTGTTTTGTCGTTTTATTCTTGCAGATAATAATTAGCTAATTAGATGACTTACTGCCATTCAGGGTTAAGTGGGAACCTCAGTTTCCGAATTCAACAATCTGAATGATAGTAAATCAAATGGACTGGGATCTCAATGTTCTTGGCAAACGTTTAATGTGCATGTTGTTGATGTCACGAAAGAATAAACTCTAAGATGGTACATCGTCAAAATTGTTTCACAGGTTGCCTCGTTAGTCATGAGGAGGGAAGAAGAAAAAGTGAGTCCGCCATGCATCGGTGGATGTGAGGAGAAGGTTTACTGTGATGCATAACTCCAAACCAACTGCATTATTTCATCCTCCAAATGAAGTTGAGCCCTCTGGACAGGGATTCAGAGACGCAGGGGCTACAATTAGCTGTATTTAAACTCCAGCCAGTCAGGCGACAGGGAGGCCACAGTGATGACTATGGACCTCACATACTTGTCTTCTGTTTCTCCATGTAGTGCATGTCCTACCGGCCACCAAAGCCAAAGAAAGCCTGTGGAGCTTGTTTGAAGGTAAGTCATCATTTTGTGTGTGTGTGTGGATGTTTGTGGTGGACATGCACTGTATCGTCCTTGGCATGCAGACATATTCCAACCCAAAGGACAAAGTAGAGTGTCTTGAAATAGCTCAGCAAAACATGTCCTTGTGATTTTCCTTCAGACCTTTCGTAAAGTGATATCAGGCTGATGTGTGTGTACATGTTTTTGTGTTTCAGATGTGTACCTGTGTGCAGTGCTGATCTGCTCAGTTGGTTTGCTGTGTATGTGCATGTTCACGGTGACAGTAACATGTCAGTACATACAGAGGAAGCAGAGGTTAAAAGGTTAGCAGTAACATCAAGTTTACTCCAGGACCGACTATTGTTCCCATGGCCCAATAACTCGAAAAGTATCTAATGGCATATTTCCACTGCAGCGGGGTAGCCCCATTTAAACGTCCCTAAGCGTCCTCGCTCAGGCGAGCCTCACTGGCCGTCCGAGGCCGTGGCGCATTTCCATTACAGTTTAGGACCTGGGGTAGCAACGCAGTGTAGGCGGGGCGATCGAATTTGTTGTTCCGTCGAGCTCCCGCTGGATTTGATCATCCCCAATGAGATGTAGGAACGTCGTCACCTCCTCGGTCGACCACGGTGTGCTTTTCTTTGACGTTGCCATTTTTGTAGCTCCTCCGTTTATAAAAATGCTGTTTATAAAAATGCTGCAAGCTTGCTTCTAGATATATATGCGATGCTAGGGATGATCTCGCGCACGATCTTGTGTGTCGAGAGTGTTGACGTCACTAGTTCAGCCCTGGCCTGATAGAACCACGATTTTATGGGGCCGGAAAAAGAGGGAAAAAGTACCCGCTAGCCGGTGCTACGCTATATGGAAAGGCCACCAAAAACTGGCCTGGCCGCTTGAGGACGATTAAGGACGCTTAAACGGGGCTACCCGCTGCAGTGGAAATGCGCCATAATTGGATCAATAGCCCATTTGTACAATAGCCCACAAAAAAACAAACGGCCATTGCTCCAAAAAGTGCTCATTCTCCTTTCAACAAACAGTAGGAAAAGGTTAATTATTATAAAGAATGATGTGTGGACCAATCGGATGTTTGTTTTTCTGGATTACGGGCCATTGGACAAATGCTCTTTTTGCCTCGTCCATAGGGAAACAAATTTAAACTTTTGGAGTTTGGGAAAAATGGGCCATCGGAATAATAAGTACTGACTTTTGACTTTTTTTCCTGACGTCTCCATTTCACCTTTTGCCCTGTTTCTATATCATTTTCTTTGTCTGTATCTTCATTCCTTTAGCCACCTCTCTCGTTTCTTTCCATGCATTTTGCTAGTTCAGTCTATATTTTGTAAATGACATGCGTTGTGTTTTATATCTGCAGATAATTACCTCTTGGTCAAAAGCTCTCAGAACAGGTAAGTTGTTAGGGCGGCAAAGCCTCCTCACACATAGCCATAGAAGTATACAGACGCTCAAATGTTCTTATTGACACTTAACCTCTTGTATTCTGGTCTCACTACAGCTCGGGAGAGACCGTCACCAGCATGCTCAATATGTCTCCTGCTCTGCCTAAGAAAGAGAGGAGGTACAGAAAGAAGAGGAGCAGAGACTACCAAGAGGAGATACCTCCAGAGATACCAGCAAAAGGTGAATAAGAGTCTATCAATGAGGAACAGAGAAGTACACATCCTTTCCTCAAGTAGAAGTACAGATACTCGTGTTTAAAAATACTCTGGTGAAAGTAGAAGTACTGACTAAACTTCTTTACTCAAGTAAAAGTAAAGAGGCTTTGAAATGTACTTCAGTAAAAAGTACCCATAACTAGCAGCTGCTTTAAAGAGTACCTGACCTCCCTTTATATTAATAGAACAATAATGTCATTGTTAGCTAATGAATGTTTCCATGCTGAACAACGGCAACATGACAACGTTTCCATTGGTCCCTCTTCTTTAGAGAAGACCAGGAAATGATGGATACACGGATCGTGTTCAAATCAATAGGCACGCAATGACTCTAAAGAATAATGATCACGCATCAAACACACATTCAGACTAAAGGAACCAGCTGTTTGGAAAATGAGAGAAGTAGAAAGTACAAGTATTTGAGTTCAAAATGTGAGAAGTAGAAAGTACAGGTATTTGAGTTCAACATGTAAGAAGTAGAAAGTACAGGTATTTGAGTTCAACATGTGAGAAGTAGAAAGTACAGGTATTTGAGTTCAACATGTAAGAAGTAGAAAGTACAGGTATTTGTGTTCAACATGTAAGAAGTAGAAAGTACAGGTATTTGAGTTCAACATGTAAGAAGTAGAAAGTACAGGTATTTGGGTTCAACATGTAAGAAGTAGAAAGTACAGGTATTTGTGTTCAACATGTAAGAAGTAGAAAGTACAGGTATTTGTGTACAACATGTAAGAAGTAGAAAGTACAGGTATTTGAGTTCAACATGTAAGAAGTAGAAAGTACAGGTATTTGTGTTCAACATGTAAGAAGTAGAAAGTACAGGTATTTGAGTTCAACATGTAAGAAGTAGAAAGTACAGGTATTTGTGTTCAACATGTAAGAAGTAGAAAGTACAGGTATTTGAGTTCAACATGTAAGAAGTAGAAAGTACAGGTATTTGAGTTCAACATGTAAGAAGTAGAAAGTACAGGTATTTGAGTTCAACATGTAAGAAGTAGAAAGTACAGGTATTTGTGTTCAACATATAAGAAGTAGAAAGTACAGGTATTTGGGTTCAACATGTAAGAAGTAGAAAGTACAGGTATTTGTGTTCAACATGTGAGAAGTAGAAAGTACAGGTATTTGGGTTCAACATGTGAGAAGTAGAAAGTACAGGTATTTGTGTTCAACTTGTAAGAAGTAGAAAGTACAGGTATTTGGGTTCAACATGTGAGAAGTAGAAAGTACAGGTATTTGAGTTCAACATGTAAGAAGTAGAAAGTACAGGTATTTGTGTTCAACATATAAGAAGTAGAAAGTACAGGTATTTGGGTTCAACATGTAAGAAGTAGAAAGTACAGGTATTTGTGTTCAACATGTGAGAAGTAGAAAGTACAGGTATTTGTGTTCAACTTGTAAGAAGTAGAAAGTACAGGTATTTGGGTTCAACATGTGAGAAGTAGAAAGTACAGGTATTTGTGTTCAACATGTGAGAAGTAGAAAGTACAGGTATTTGTGTTCAACATGTAAGAAGTAGAAAGTAAAAAGTCCTCAGAAAAATAAGTAGTGGAGTAAAGTACTGATACCAGAAACATGTACTTAAGTACAGTAACGAAGTATTTGTACTCCACTACTTCCCACCTCTGATGAGGAACACCAGCAGAAAAGCATGAGTCCAAATGGAGGTGTTTTGCTTTCTAAACACGAATACATTCTGGCGTTTGAGGTCAACATCCGCCCCTTCCACTTATAAACTCTTGAGTTATGGAGCACCATGGGGAATGTAATAGATCATGTGTATCCACCCAAGTCAAAAAGTTATTTCGAATTCAGTACCATCTTCATGATTGCCGTGATGTGGTGGAGTTTCCAAATTCCTAAATCCCCTACTGTTGAAGGGCAGACGTTTATTTGTGCTGTTATTTGCAACTTCTGTTCCTTTTGATCCAATAACTCTCTGTTTGAAACACTTTGTAAAGAGGGAAGCCTCTCAAATGTGTGGTTATGAATGGGGGTCTGGTTCTTGTTTCACACATAAATATGATAGGAGGTCTGGTTGTAGTTCGACACATAAATATATACAATAAATCTTCAGACCCCTGCAAAACCACTGAATTTTGTTTTGTCCCTGCAGCTCCCATTGGAGACAAAACACGGAAACCCAAACTGTTAAAACCACAACCAAGAAAAGTAGTCCTGGTGAGTTCTGCATGCCATTTCCATACAACGTTCATAACTGCCCAGTGATAAAGGATTCTACCAAGTACTTATTTCTGCATGCTTTAACCTAACCTGTATATGGGAGGCATTGGCTTATATCACTTCGGATACATTACGTACCAAGCAAGGCATTGTTATTGTGTGAAATTGAATGGAGAGCAACTATAATGTGCCTGTAATCAAAAGTACCAGAAAGTGTCATAAAATGTGCCACATACCCAAGGTTTAATTTGGTTTAAATTGTCACTTGACTAAAGTGGCAGCTTGGCATTTCAATGGCAAAAACTGCGGCAATAGAAGATTGACCTAAACCCAAGACTCTTGTTCGGTGGCCTCTAGGTCCAATCAGCTCAAATGTTACGAAACCAAACCTATAAAGCTTTGGGAAACCAACAAGAGGAGAAACTTTTAACTGTTTGGAGTCTCTGCTTGCTAACTTCAGTTTTAAAAGATGTTCTGTCTGTACTCATGTTCTGTTCAAGATGAATGTTAGAGTTCAACATCCATGCTTATTATCTAACCACAAATACCACTTCCTTTCCCTCTGCCCCTTCTCCTCCATCATTATTTCTCCTCTGTTGCATGTTCCTCCACCTCCAGCCGAAGATAGTGGAGGAGAATCTGACCTACGCTGAGCTGGATCTCGTGAAACCAATTCCTGAACCCAAGGCGTCGTGTAGCGGCACTGTTTACGCTCAGATTCTGTTTGGGGAGCAGCAGCTATGAGACAAACACACACCACTACTAACTGTGCCTAATGTAAAAAGCATTGTCTATTTATAGTCTGTATTATTTTGTATTCAAACGGTTTTTGAACGGCAAAATGTGTCATGTGTCAAAATGATGACGTAATGTGTACATAGGATTTTATATGTTCTTTGATAATACTTGCTTTTCTGATTCAAAGGGACATTTTTTGCACCAATGTTTGAATTCTGCGTTGCTTAAATTAGGAACTCAATATTTTAAAATGTGCACAGATTTAGACCAGATTTGTCCATCGTGGAGGATACTCAAATGTGAACAGATGAAATATTTACTTGTTGATTTAGTGGGCAGTATACTGATTGATTATGTGAGCATGTGATTGTCAACACCACCCTTGTCTTGACATTTCTTAGTTGGCTACACTCGCCTTTTATTTGAATTGTGGGAAAACCATCTTCTTATGAAAGAAGTAGATTCAAGATATCCCATATTGTTAAGAATGTCTATTTCTAAAATGTGATTTACTTTTATCGTGTTCCCAGCATTATCGGTGTGTTTCTGTGTGTCAGCCCGCAGTTCATAACGACCACATCTCCGCAGAGTTGATATTTAAATAGCTATTAGCCCACCGACCTCACCCAGAGTCAAGTACGCGAGACCATGCGAGCTCTTTCATCTGGTGCCAACATCAACTAAACAAGCCGTTAGCGAGAGCGTCTAAATCCGAGGGTGGAGTCACGTCCAGGCTCGATATCCATGTAGACTTACTCCTAAAAAGGCTCATACTATACATTCAATGTGCTTCGAACTATGCGGCACCTGATCTATAAACAGGGACACACTTTAGAAACTGTGTCTGGACTATTTCACATTAATGTCTACTTCAAATCTAAAGCTGATTTCGTTGTTTGAGATAATAATTCATATCAGCTGCAGTCTCTCCTGCCTTCATACGATCTCCTCTCTTCCTCACTTTCCGTGAATCTGAGTGTGAAAGTGCTTAGTGCTTCTTTTTCCATTGACTGATCCTTTGGATTCAGGCATGGAAAAGCAAAGGAGAGCTTTTTTAACACGGAACCTGAAACCCAGACATAAATGCACCCTCCCTTCCCCCAAGGCCTCCACTATCTCATGTGGAATAATCCATGCACATGAAGCCCTCCGCAGATATAAGTCTCACTTTTCGCTGCATGCCATCGGAAGTCCACCCTTTACGTCAAACTTTAGCTAAACCAGCTACTTATCTGATAACCAATATTTAGAGTAGTTAGTCACCAACTAAAATGCTTTGTCTCTTCAGTAAAACATTTAAAAATCAACTTATATGTGGTATTTTAAGTCATATAAACTATGCTTAAGTAGCTGGGGATTGTTTGATGGCCCATTATTCCGAAGTTACCAAAAACCGTCCCCACAATAGCGCCGTCATGATCCGCCCTACTCTGGCTCTGATTGGCTGTTTCTTGTTGTCTTAGTTGATTGGATATATTTCGGAGCAATGGCCGGAATAACAGGCTGTAGGTCAAATGGAAATTGGACATTTAAAAATTGTTATGGGCCATCAGAACAACTGCATGGCACCAGGTAGCTAACAGCTGACATGTATTGATTTAGTAAAAAAGTCAGTATACCATCACGAAAAGACAGCTGTCTATGTCTTTGATAATGTCAAGTAAGTGGAGTTGTTGTTCTCTCAATCAGCAGTTGAACAAAAGCCTATTTCCAACATGGCTGCCAACCAGTGGACACCAACAAATACAGATTTCTAACTATTACCGCAAATGTTTAAATGTATTGTTCCCTGTGTATACTGTACATTACAAACCACTATCAATGTCCCTTTTTCACCATTCCAATTGTTCTATTGTTGTATTCTCGTATGCATATTTTCAGTTGCACAGTGTGTTTTATTCGTATATGAAATGACTGAAAGTGACTTTTCAGTGGCGGGCAGAAGTGTCTTAAAATGCCCTTAGACTGTGAAATGTAAAGTTTCTTCCAGACCACATTGTCCTTAATGGGAGTCCACTAACTAGAACCATGTGTGTTAATTTAGCCTCTCCTTCTCCCTCTCTCCTTTCCCTCTCCCTGCCCACACTGACCTCTGCATTCATTAACTCCCCAGTTTGTTTTGTACATTTCGTCTGTATCAGTAAGTGAAATAAATATAAAAATGGACGTGAGCAGTTTGCTGCCAGAGAGGTGTTTTTAACGATGCGTTTTAGCATGTGGAAATGATTTAACATTGGAAACATGTGACTGCTTTTCTCTGTAAAAAATGTTCTACTTACAATTTGTGATATTCTCTGTCTGGTCACGTCATCTGGCTTTGTAAAATGTGATTTAACAGACGACAAGTTGATCCTCTTCATCTCTAGCAGACTTAAAACCTGCAGGACAGCTGTCTCTTCTCTCATTGAAAAAAGGCTCATATAATAGGGTTGTTTTTTAAGTTATATGGCTAGGCCCCTTCGCTCTATTAACTCGTAAAATATGTATGCTCTTAGTTCAACGAATATTTTTTTTACAGATCTAATGTAATGAGTAACACTTTCGGACTGAACTTTACAACAAGAGATTAAAACTCTTCTCACGTACTAAAATGCATTTACTGTAACTCGCGATATGTATTCTGTTATCAAATCAAGTTATCTTTCACTCCATAGACTTTAGGAGGAGACATGAGGGGCGTCAGCACGTCCTGTGGTGGTGGAGGCGCTGTAATGAGAGAGGGGGACATTTAAACGTTGGGTTTAGTTTTTCTCCAACCTCCAAATTATTTTCGAAAGGAAAAAGAGAGAGGAAGCCCACTGTGTGCGTGGGACAAAAGGAACCCCAACGGTCTTATAAAAATGTTTCACCCACAAAGAAAACACACCGTTGACACAAAGACTCAGGTCAGTCGTTGACTTTGTTTGGAGGGAAGTGGTTTAATATTAAGAAAATATGATCAGTAAGGTAAATAAAACGATGTTTAAGTAGGTGGGATTTTTGGAAAGGAAGGAAAGGACGAAAGGAGAGATGAAAGGCAATACACTACAGGCAAAAACATAATTTAAAAAAGGCATTCTGCTTCTACAACATGTATTCTTTCAGGCTTTGGTAGGAAAACATGCAAAATACAAAACGTTTATTTGACTAATATGTTCGAATTGTGTCTTGATTTCTCCCCAAATCACCACAATGTTCCATTATATAATGCTTCATTTACATAGAATTTCGCAAAATTGTATTCAAGTTATTTATGTGAAAATGATTGTCTTAATGTAGGTAATGAACTGGGGAAGTTTCATTGTGATATATTTAGTTTATTCCCCTGTTGTTAATCTCCCTAGAAATTGAGAAAAGGGTTTAAATAAATCCCATGTTTGGAGAAAGACATGTAGAATAAACCGTTGGTTTCCTGTCTGAAAACAATTCATCAGGCATTGCAGACGCTCCCTTAAAAAGACCTGATGTCACCAGCAACACATCCAGACCAAACCTATTGTTAAAGCTTGCGTGTGTCTGCGCTTGTTGTGTTTCATGCATGCCATCAATCAATAGAAATACAAGGCATAGTAAACACACAGTCTACAACCAAGCATGTCCTGTGTGGTTACAGTAATGCTTGTCTACACTCCTCTAGAGGCAACCAAAACAAAAAGAATAATGGAAGAGTTCAGCGAGTGGAAATCACAGGAAGTAGGAATTACATTAAGGCCAGGATCTTACACACGGGATCTGGGAGAGGGATCCCTCCTCTGTTGCTCTCCCTGAGGTTTCTCCCATGTTCCCTTTAAACTGTGGGTTTTCTCTGGAAGTTTTTCCTTGTACGATGTGAGGGTCTAAGGACAGAGGGTCTAAGGACAGAGGGTCTAAGGAGGTCAGAGGGTGTCGTATTGTCATACTGATATTCTGTACAAACTGTGAAGTCCACTGAGATAAATGTAACATTTGTGATATGATATTTGATATACTTTATTAATCCCCGTGGGGAAATTGTTTCTCTGCATTTGACCCATCCTAGTGTTAGGAGCAGTGTGCTGCCATTTTGAACGGCGCCCGGGGAGCAGTGTAGGGAACGGTGCCTTGCTCAGGGACACCGCGGTAGCACTTGGTCTTGCCGGGACTTGAACTGGTGACCTTCCAGTTACCAAGCCAAGTCCCAATCGACTTCGCCACCACCGCCCCCAATATGATATTGGGCTATATAAATAAACATTGATTGATTGATTGATTGATTGATTGATTGATTGATTGATTGATTGATTGATTGGTTGATTGGTTGATTGATTGGTTGATACATATCCTGTAAGAATCTGAATCTGGTGTCCGGTGTTGTGCGGTCAAGTCCGCGAGAACCTCTTCCCCCTTCGTCCTCTCTGTAAATATACAGCTCTCTACTCTTAGGCAGAGATGGCAAAAGTACACACATCCTTTACTCAAGTAGAAGTACATATACTAGTTTTAAAAATACTCTGGTGAAAGTAGAAGTACTGACTAAACTTCTTGACTCAAGTGAAAGTAAAGAGGCTTTGAAGTGTACTTCAGTAAAAAGTACCCATAACTAGCAGCTGCTTTAAAGAGTACCTGACCTCCCTTTATATTAATAGAACAATAATGTCATTGTTAGCTAATGAATGTTTCCATGCTGAACAACGGCAACATGACAACGTTTCCATTGGTCCCTCTTCTTTAGAGAAGACCAGGAAATGATGGATCCACGGATCGTGTTCAAATCAATAGGCACGCAATGACTCTAAAGAATAATGATCACGCATCAAACACACATTCAGACTAAAGGAACCAGCTGTTTGGAAAATGAGAGAAGTAGAAAGTACAGGTATTTGAGTTCAACATGTGAGAAGTAGAAAGTACAGGTATTTGAGTTCAACATGTGAGAAGTAGAAAGTACAGGTATTTGAGTTCAACATGTAAGAAGTAGAAAGTACAGGTATTTGAGTTCAACATGTAAGAAGTAGAAAGTACAGGTATTTGGGTTCAACATGTAAGAAGTAGAAAGTACAGGTATTTGGGTTCAACATGTAAGAAGTAGAAAGTACAGGTATTTGGGTTCAACATGTAAGAAGTAGAAAGTACAGGTATTTGAGTTCAACATGTGAGAAGTAGAAAGTACAGGTATTTGAGTTCAACATGTAAGAAGTAGAAAGTACAGGTATTTGTGTTCAACATGTGAGAAGTAGAAAGTACAGGTATTTGAGTTCAACATGTAGGAAGTAGAAAGTACAGGTATTTGGGTTCAACATGTAAGAAGTAGAAAGTTCAGGTATTTGAGTTCAACATGTAAGAAGTAGAAAGTACAGGTATTTGGGTTCAACATGTAAGAAGTAGAAAGTACAGGTATTTGAGTTCAACATGTGAGAAGTAGAAAGTACAGGTATTTGAGTTCAACATGTAAGAAGTAGAAAGTACAGGTATTTGTGTTCAACATGTGAGAAGTAGAAAGTACAGGTATTTGAGTTCAACATGTGAGAAGTAGAAAGTACAGGTATTTGTGTTCAACATGTGAGAAGTAGAAAGTACAGGTATTTGAGTTCAACATGTAGGAAGTAGAAAGTACAGGTATTTGAGTTCAACATGTGAGAAGTAGAAAGTACAGGTATTTGTGTTCAACATGTGAGAAGTAGAAAGTTCAGGTATTTGAGTTCAACATGTAAGAAGTAGAAAGTACAGGTATTTGAGTTCAACATGTAAGAAGTAGAAAGTACAGGTATTTGAGTTCAACATGTAAGAAGTAGAAAGTACAGGTATTTGAGTTCAACATGTAAGAAGTAGAAAGTACAGGTATTTGAGTTCAACATGTAACAAGTAGAAAGTACAGGTATTTCTGTTCAACATGTAAGAAGTAGAAAGTACAGGTATTTGAGTTCAACATGTAAGAAGTAGAAAGTACAGGTATTTGAGTTCAACATGTAAGAAGTAGAAAGTACAGGTATTTGAGATCAACATGTAAGAAGTAGAAAGTACAGGTATTTGAGTTCAACATGTAAGAAGTAGAAAGTACAGGTATTTGAGATCAACATGTAAGAAGTAGAAAGTACAGGTATTTGCGTTCAACATGTGAGAAGTAGAAAGTACAGGTATTTGTGTTCAACATGTAAGAAGTAGAAAGTACAGGTATTTGAGTTCAACATGTAAGAAGTAGAAAGTACAGGTATTTGTGTTCAACATGTAAGAAGTAGAAAGTACAGGTATTTGTGTTCAACATGTAAGAAGTAGAAAGTACAGGTATTTGAGTTCAACATGTAAGAAGTAGAAAGTACAGGTATTTGGGTTCAACATGTAAGAAGTAGAAAGTACAGGTATTTGTGTTCAACATGTAAGAAGTAGAAAGTACAGGTATTTGAGTTCAACATGTAAGAAGTAGAAAGTACAGGTATTTGGGTTCAACATGTAAGAAGTAGAAAGTACAGGTATTTGGGTTCAACATGTAAGAAGTAGAAAGTACAGGTATTTGTGTTCAACATGTAAGAAGTAGAAAGTACAGGTATTTGAGTTCAACATGTATGAAGTAGAAAGTACAGGTATTTGAGTTCAACATGTAAGAAGTAGAAAGTACAGGTATTTGAGTTCAACATGTGAGAAGTAGAAAGTACAGGTATCAAAAGTCAAAAGTTAAAAGTCGTTAGTAAAATAAGTAGTGGAGTAAAGTACTGATACCAGAAACATTTACTTAAGTACAGTTATGAAGTATTTGTACTCCACTACTTCCCACCTCTGCTCTTAGGTCACCAAACCAAATAGTCTTCAACCCTCTTGGGTATCACCCATGAGCCTCCAAAACAGAAAAGAAACGGACAACTAACAATGGAATACACACAAAAAGCATCGGACTAAATTGGTGTCTAAAAAGGACATTTTCCATCAAGACAATGAGTTTTAAATCGTGTGTTCGGTCATACATTTAAAGAAAAAACATGTTATGTTTTTAGAGGAAGTAAAGAATATTCCACAGCTGTTTACTTGCAGTGTCCCACTTTTCCAGGTCAACTAAACTGTTCATCTTTCCATGTTTTAACTCAAAAATAGTGGTGGAGTTCTTTAGCACCAACAGCTTTTCCACATTAGTCTCAGCCTTGGATTTGTTTGACAGACACACGGTAACTGATGAGGCTTTTCTCTACAGGATTTATTAGTGTGCAGCAGGAGCGAGCGTCACCTCTCGCTGCTGTGTTGTTGT